TATAAATTTAAAAGGCAAATGGGAAAAACCCATAAAACAGCAAACGGCCACATAATGCAAAACTATTTAAAATTAAAACGGAACAGTAGAGAAAATCCGATCAGAATGACAAAATAAACTAAGCATCAACTGGAAGGAATCTCAATATCTGCAGACGGAGAATTTCGTAGGACGCGTTAAGAATGACAAAATATTCTCTGTATCTAATGGAACCGAGCCACATAGCTTGTATTCCACTATTTGCATTCACACCTGGGCTGTGTATATATATTGCCTTGGTTTAGCTCTGTAATCATTAGTGGTCGTGGGACTAGTTTGGGCCCTACCTAAGCTGGTCGTAAATTTTATGCTGCTGTTAATGTTTCACTGTTTTTTAACTGACTTTCAGCAAACTGGGTCTGGCAAACTTAGTTTCGGCCAACTGGGATTCAGCAAAGTGGTCTCGGAAATCTGGCAATTTGCCTCTATGACTCAGTGAGGTAGAAGTCCCAACAAATTATCCTGACCATTGTCAATTTTCCCCTTCACCTCTCTATATCCGCCATATTCACCATTATGCCAACAATTCTGTTCTACATAACCTAAACATCAGTCCAATTCGCCATTTTATGTAGACTAAATAAAGTACAGTAAAACCTCAAATTGAAGCCCAATGTGCTTAATCTCAAGAAGAAGCCCACCTTAAATTGAAGACCTCCTCTTTAGTTTTAACCTTGAAAAGAAGCCCATCTCAAAAAGAAGCCCATGGGCTTCTTTTCGAGATAGTACAGTATACCCACAGACTATACAGTATTTTAGGTGATTTATTGCCAGTTAATACACTCAATGATACTGATTGATGTTACAGTGCCCCTATTTATTGTTTTTAGTAGTTATTCCCAAAATGTACACCATTTATTTTGAAAAGAAACCCCCTCTTTACTTTGCAAAAGTAGCCTGGAAAAGAAAAAGAAGTCCAGGGCTTCATTTCGTGGTTTTACAGTAATATTGTGGTAGTATCGTGGGATTGTGACTGCTCTTTGCATCATAACAGGAATCGTGCAGTATTATTACTAGGTCTGCAATATTGCAATTTATGGTTGTTTTAGACCTTTTCATACAGAAGGCAATGGCAGCAATATTCCCACAATATTGCGGTAACATGCTCTGTATGAAAGGCTTTACAGAAATATCAACAATTATGCTAAACATAAAAAATATGTTGTCATATGACATGTGGTCTATACTTCAATGAGATGAAAAAAAAATATAAATGCATGGGCTTCACATGTTTCAATAATTTAATTCCATAAGCCTTTTAAACCTTGGCACTGGGACTGTCCCAAGTGATTCAAGTTGGGAGGTGATGTAGTCTACTATTGTGCTAGACACCAAACTTAATTTATTAATAATATAATATGATTTCACTAATTGCTGTTGGAATCTATTTATGGCATAGAGTTATAAATTGTTTTTCTTCTTTTATTTCATTTAGATATAACTGAGCTGGGCAGAACATCCAGGATGATGTGTGAGTTATCAGGAAGAACTCTGCCTCTGGTTAAAGATATTGCAATGGCCATAGTGGATATGGGTTCAAACGTCAAAGATTTACAGACCTATGCAAAACGCTGTAAGAAGATGGCTCTACATCGTAAGTCAGGAACATTCTTATCCAACATTCAGAATATTTTTATTTATTTTTTTTAAGAATGCAGTGCAAAGGGAAGAATGTACAGCTGGGTCTGACAATATCGAGGGGTTAGAGGAAGCTTGTTGCTAAGAGATGTAGATGTCTGGAGACTATAAGAGGCAGAGAAGCTAGAAGATGAAAAGTAATTCCAGAATGCTAGAAAGAATTACTAGCCAGGCCTCAAGTTATGAGATCAAAGATAAATTTTCAGAAACGATAAGTGGGTAGCACTTATTTCAATACATAACATTGATATGCATTGAAATTTTAAAATTCAGTGACAAAATGGGGTGCCCCATGTGCCCCCTACTGTATCCACGCCTCTGCACTATGTATTTCCTGTGGCTGTACTTTACAATGTTAAGCTTCATAATGTCTAAGGTAGGATAATTTATCAGCTTGGATGTCTTTCATTTAATAGAAGGGATGTTTTTGAATTAAATTGTGACATTTAAGGGCTTGAACTCATAATCTTAAGATAAGATGGTAAGCATTTGAAATTAGTGGGTGAGTGGTGTCATAAGACAGTAGGCTGTGTCAGTGAGGATTAAGATCAAAGATACTAGAAACACAAGAAAGAGTTCTCCACAGAAAAAAAAAAACTTTTCCACCGAAATGCATGGTGGGAATACAAACACTGGGGCGCCACGTACGTCTGGATCTAAAAATTACATGGGCCGTTACATAACTGTGAATACATAACCTCCTTTTCCGGAGGTTGAAATCGTTGCCATTATCCATAATATACAAACAAGTAGGCATTAAATAAATCAAAACAATAAAATGACACCAAAGCGCAGAATCGTATGACCGGACTCTGATTAGTGATAAATTTTTCCTCCATTAGTGGAAAAAGAAGGGTGCCGTGTGCGTCGGGATATATCTAGCAACAGAAGGGCGCCCTGTACGTCTGGACCAAATATAGAAAACTTGCATCATTAAAAGAGAAGGGCACCGCATACGTCCGGACTCATATTTGCTATGTGAGTGCTCTATCTTGTATTTCTAGTATCTTTGTTATGATTCAATAAAAATAATCATCATTTTAATTTATGTTAATACTAACACTATTAATAATATTAAAAATGTTATCTTCATATTAAATAATAAAATAATTAAAGTAATGTTATAATACAATAATAATATCACAATAATTATCTTAATAATAATGACTTCAATGCTAATTAAGATAATTCAATGAACATATATTATTGGCAATTTCCAAAAATGTTTTTCCTTCATTCATTCTTTATTTAGTCTTTCATAAAAACCACAATACAATAGGTACATACTGTAAAATAAATCAAACTATAACCAGAACTGAAAATTACAAAAAAAAACAAAACTGTATAAATCTAAGGAAGAAAAAAGAATATTGTAGCCCACAAGCCTGTTAATCCATTTATTATTTTATAAGAATGTTTGAGATGTAGAGATAATGCAACAAATGTGACCAGTTTATAAACTGCTCTGAGTGAGCATTATATGCATACCAGAGTAATATTAGTAGCATCATATAAATGGCATTGTCTGTTTTTGATAGATTCTATTTTGATATTTTGAGGGTCCCAAATAATCAGCTTCTGCTGGATGGTTCACCCTCATTAAATATGGTTCAGATAAATAAAAAAAATACTTGTGATAATTTATTTAAGGTAGGAAGTATATGGAGGTGATTGACACCTGTTCACCACAAATTTTCATTGGCAACTTTATTTCTGTTTTATAGTTGTGTATGGTGTTTGTGTGTAAATTTTCCAGTAATGGTTATGGCTGTAGATTTATATAGTGCGTAATACTAGGTCTCTATGCACGTTCAACAAATGTTCAACAATAGAAGTTAATCAAAATAAACAAATAAGATAAGGAAGAGACAAAGAAAAAAGGAACAACAAAAATCAACAAATAAGAAAAACAATTAGATATAGCTTATAAATATAAATAAAATATTCATTATATTCATTACAAAACAAGTATATTTGTTAGTATTGCATTTATAAGTATTGCTTATACACAAAAATCGTATCGTTGAATTCTTAAAACTAAACTTACATAGCTCAACAGCTCGTGCATGGACTCAATAAGAAGAAATATTGCAGTTATGAATTATAAAATGATTTAATGAATTATTATGATAACTAAATATTGTCTTCATGATTATAAAAAATATTGTTGTTTTCATTGAATTTTTAGAAGAACAGATGCGTCAGGGGACTACTCCGAAAGTTCTGCAAGCTGGGATTCGCAAGCACCATCCAAACCACATACCACACTACCTACCTGAATTCCCCGACCCACACTCCTACATCAAAACAGCAGTCAGTATTTGAACAGCCATTTATTGGTGTTTGTTTACGCAAATGTACATTCACATCACTTTTGGACTTACGTTGTGTCATTCAGTCCTAATTAAATTACATCAGTAATGCCGAGTTCCAGACAAATTTAACAACTGGTCTGGATTTGCCACTCAAACATGTCTGAGTTCCATTAGAAAGTTATTCAGTTCAGTATCATTCAAAGGTCAGATTTGTAGGTTAAATAAAGTTCAAATTAAGAAATAAAATTATAGAAAAATATTATTGGGAGAGTATTATATTATTGAAAACAGTAACGTTCAAAAGAAAGTTTCAGGACAGGGTCCCATGTACAATTCAGGTATTTGACCGTGTCCAACCCACTGATTACTGACCAATCAGATGGATACTCTGTTTCAAAAATTAACTTGTAATATTAATGAGTATGCTGGACATAGTTGTAATCAATAGTTACATATCTGTTTTGTAAAATGGATAAGCGATGTAAGAGTTTGTATCCACCTCAACCCCACTATGGTTGGATGAGATTAGAATTTTTTAAGGACATGCCATTTCCTTATACAGTATTATTTCATTACTGACTCTTTGCAAAGTTTTTTTTCTGAATCCGAGTTAAATACATATTTATATATTAAGTACTTATGTTGCCTGTTTTTTGTATTTTATAGACTTACAGGCAACAAGAGAAAGATTATCAGACTCTGCGAGAGAAGGCAGCTACTCAGAAACGAGACGTTGAAAGGGCGCTGACACGCTTTATTGCAAAGACGGGAGAAACTCAGACACTATTTCCTGGTGATAGCAACCTATTTCCACGTAAGAAAATTACATTTTTTTTGATATGCAGAGAAATTTAGTAAAACCATTGCAAAATAGTTGTTAACATTACAATAATGATATTTCTATTGACCAGTTGAATGATGAAAGTCATGTGCCTTGTCTTGGGCAAGTGTTAACACGTATGATAGTGTGTCTACAGCAGTGGTGATTGCAAATTCTTTCTGCCTTAAGTCTCATGCTGTGAGGTGAATCTACCTAACCCCACAAAATCAGCCAAGATGCTATCAAATGCCTCCAAAGATAGTTTTAGTGGTGGAAATTGTATCCTTTAAGCTGATTGATTGCATACATTCGCCTTGGTTTTTGCACTCTGACCTGGTGGTAACCAGCTTTAAACATGTAGGGTACAGTAGCCTGTGCTTAATGATATATGAATACACTATTCCAGGCTTGTACTTAAAGATATACTCTCACCAAAAATTAAATTGAAAAAAATAAATAAAAGTTTAAATTGCTCATTTAAAAGAACCACATGTGTTACCAATGTTCAGTAAGTTACAGATCTAACAAAATAACTCTGGACTCGCATCTGAGTCTCCTTCTGTATCAACATAACATGTTTCCATGATTCTGTGTTTATTTAGAGAGAGAGATTCAGACTGGAAACCAATAACAGCATAATCTATATATATAAAAAGCAAATTGGGGTTTGTGTGTCCGGGATTTCCTCTTTTGTTACTGAGCTGATTTAAACCAAATTTTCACTCAAATATTCAGTTTGGTGCTGGTCAGGTAATACTAGGCTATGTGGTGTTTTCCAAAATTGCATCATTTATTAATAATTAATAAAAAACTGATTTAAATTAGTCCCGGCTGGCACTTTTTCACAATGTCATTTCTGAAGGACAAAGTAGCTCCAGATATTCATGCCTCTTTACAATTGACACAATTACCTTATTTACAATTAACATAAATTACACAGTACGGTACATAATAAACAAAAGTTTAACAAAGAAATTAAATGATATAGATACAAAACATAATTATTTTATAATATGCAAAAGTCAACAATTTAGTAAAATAAAAGTGATCTCTAGCAAAAATGGCAAAATAAATTATGAAAATGAAGAAAATCCACTGCAGAAAAGTAAACTGTAAATTATGAAAAAGAAATGTAAAATATTAATAAAAACAAAGCAAGAAAACATTAAATTAGTGATTTATGCAATGTGTATACTATTATACTCTGTTCTCATTAATTATTAAATACAAATTTGGTTCTTGAAAATACTTAAATTGATAGAAGACTGTACATCAGGGCTTAATCTATTCCATAGCACTATCATATGAAATACTTTTTTTAAAAATTAGTCTCATTCATTCAGTTTGCCTTGATTCGCGTCCGAAGGATGGGTACACAGCTAGTATAACATAATATGGTAAATTATATCACTTTTACCACAAAACATAATTTGTGATGATAATTGATTATTTCTGTGGGTGCTGATTATGTGTAGTCAATTTCCTGGTATCATACAGGCACTGAACAACCACAACTATATGAGGTACCATCCAATTATGTGCTAATTCACCTCTTCAAATTTGTGTGCTAAAACTTGTCAGGGAAAGATCCAGTGTGGGAGATGGAACTACAATGCATACCAATACCATGTATTAAAAAAATCTGCCCCTGACTGTGCTGTCATGTTGTAAATTTAGCAACACCCTTGAAGCTAATGGTCAATTACTTACTTCAGTTATTTTTTGGGTCTTTTCTCAAAATGTTCCTACACCCTCTTGTATGCAATTATAGATTGTGTCTAATAACAACTAACTGCAGGGTTTGCTGGATAAAGTACCAACAAGTCATTGGTGACCTCAAGCCTCTCTAAATTTTAGGAAATTTTTTTTCTTTTTAAATTTCATTTAATTTCATTTATTTAGTTCAGTGAACAAAATAACTAACAAACACAAAATAACGGAGAGGAAAAAATACTCAGTTGTCTGGACAGGATTGCCAAAAAGTGAACTAAATCACTGTCTAGTGGCTCTGCGATGACATTGAGAACATTAAGTTTATGGAGAAGAAAAAGATGGGAGGAAGATAATATTTCATTCAAATAGCAGTCAGATTGCAATTTTCAGGCCATAGCCAATCATTTTTTTTTTACCAAGCTGAGGTAGTCTGGACCCTCCACTTGTAAAAGTCCCTCCCTGGGCCACCTCTATTTCAAATTCCTGGATCTACCATTGGTAATGATGATTATGATATGATTAGATGCTGATGATTACTTACAAAAGAGACGATCAAGCCAAGCCCAAAGACAATCAGAATTGAGATGAGGGGCCTAGCTTGCTAGGCCTAGGTCCAAACCTGAATCAAAGCCTAACTTTTGAGCGAAGAATATTTATATTCTCTGTGCAGGCCTTACCTTGCACTCCTCGACCTATGCCTAACTAGATGGCTAGCCTAAATTAGGTAGGCTGGTTACCTGGATATATACTACAGGTAGCCTGCTATTCATTAATCTACCTAGCAGCCTAAACAGTGTGGTGGGGCTCTAGGCCTAGGTGGGGGGTTGATGGGGTGCAGAGGTTAAGTTGGTGGGTGGGTGGTAGGTGGAAGCTTGAAAATGAGGCGATTTTTTTTATTACTTGAGTGTAATTGTTTTACTCCCAACTGGTAGTGGCGTAAATAGCAGGGGGACTTCATAGACTCTCCCAAACCACCCCACCCCACACCCTAGAAGAGACTAGGGGGAAGTCTCCACCATGGCCATAATACCATCATAATACTAAACAAATTCAAAATGCTTTTTCCTTTTTTAGAATTCAAAATATTTTTACATTTTGTACTGGACAAAATTGCACCATGGGGAGGCTATGCATTTACTGTGTAACACGAAAAGAGTAATTCTACTTTACATGTTTCTTTCAAAGTGATAGCTTGCACACCTTCACCTCATCCATATTTACCAGCCTTACTGCCACCTGAGCACGAGGTATTAGCCATGGCTGAAGAGGATATGATGAAAGAAAAAGCAAAAAAAGAATTTCAACGGAAAAGTAACGAAGATGCAGAAAAACTTGAGGAACAGAAAGTGAAAGAAGAAAAGATTATAGAAGGAACATTAAAGGATAAAAGAGACAAACGAGAAGCAAAGTTTAACAACCCCTACCTCAGAAAAGTTAAAAAACCAAAGGTGAAGAAATCAAAAGGACGTTAAAAGAGTATGCAGGTGAATGCTGATAAAAACATGCTCGCCATCCCAGCGCCATGCATAGATACTGGTGGGTGGGGCATTGATTTGCATACATAACTTTGATACCAAGGCAAATTTAATTTGCACAAAAAGTCTCACTCAGTTGGTCATTCTTATTGTATTATAAAAGTTCTAGATCAACTATTATAATAACAAGTGCCAAACTTTTGTTCATAAGGTCTCTATTACCTGCATGAACAGACACCCCCATCCCCATCCCCTTTAGAAAAGGTTGAGCCGGCTGCCTGTAGCCTGTGGCCTAAATCAAATTTTTTTTAATCGGATGTTGTACGCCCTCAATGGCTTTATATATATTTGAAAAAAACTTTGGTAAAAGCGAATCTCGAATCATAGTTGAAATTACTTCTGCATAGCGGCCAGTCCTACTATTGACTCAACAGCTAGAAATTTCTGTCAACCCAAAACATAAAATCAACTCTCATGGTTGCACTGTCGTCAATCTCTCCAAGGAAGATAATTAAAATTAGGCGGGAATATAACCCGCATTAATAAGGCGTAACAGGGCCGTAGCCACGAGAATTGAAGTGGTGAGGTTGCAAGCAAAGCAGGCACTGAGGCTGGGGGCCAGCCAGCTGCCAAGGGCACCGATTTGCGGTTCAGGGGCTGGAGGCCCCGGGAAAAATTTGCTATTTTTACATTGTATAGACCAATTTAAATGATTTTCTGTAGTAGTACTGTAATACAATAGTAAAAATTTTTTTTTTTAAATAAAAATATATTTTAAACTACCATCAGAGCTATGGTAAAGTAAAACAATAAAAACAATTTGAATTCAAACAAGGTAGGTTCATTCAAGAGAAAGATTGTTACTCACAGCATCGTTGTTATTTTAGTATTTTGCCTTTTGACACTGACGAAAATCTAAGATTAGACCTATGAACGAAAAATAAATACTATGGTACACTTTCAATCAATACATGTATTTAAGAGATATTTATTTATAGAAAACTATCAGGAATCAGTTGAAAATTTCTTTCTCATTGGTTGAGGCAATTTAGTGAAGAAATGAATAAGTTCTAGGCAAGTGTATAAAAGAACCTTAGCCTGATTTTCTGCAAAAGCTCACTGTGGGTAGTTTGACCTACTTGATTTGCATAAAAGCAGAGCCGTGACACTGAATTTCAACTGAAGAAGAAATCATCCTAGTTTCTTAATCAGTCATTAGAAATCTTAAAGAGAAGAAAGTAATGTAAATTATCATTAACCGTCCAGGTTCATGAGTGATTTCAAGAGGGAGGAGGTTGAGTCCAACATACAGGTGGAATTTAGTCCTATTTCCTATTCAAAACCTAATCAATTAACTTGTGGTCTGTCAAAAAGTGGTCAGTTAATAAACAAAATGTTTAAAATTATTAGTTGCTTCTTTGCTTTTTCAGTTCGTTTGAACCTTTTTCCGACTGGTAAATTTTTAAAATTTACTGTACATTTGCCAAGTTAGCATCACCCACAGTACACTAGTGCTATAATCATAAATTTTCTTACAGTCAGCACACAATATCAAAAGTCTAGAGTACTTTGTTAAGCAAATAAAAATCGAAACAATTTTTCACTGCTACTTTATGTTCGACTTAGCCGAGGTTGATGGCTTGTGGGCCTAAGTAATCAATACATAACATGACAATATTATTTGGTATGACAATATATGCCTTGGGTCACTACAGAATGTGCATTCCGAAAGTGGGTCGTCACCTAAAGGTTGAGGAGCAGGGGTTTAAATGTGTTTATAGTGCTACAAAGCAAAACTATTATTTACTGATTTTCCTGCTGCAGCCTACAAGCTAGTTTCCAGCTTGTCCATGGCACCAATATGCGTGAGTGTTAAAGTCAGTTGTATGAGGAAATGTATTTAGGGATTAGATCTGCACATTTACCATATAGGTCTAGCGGTAAAACATAGTCTTGATAGAGTTTTTAGGTCCAAATCCCACCAGATGCACTCTTTTGTTTCATCATCCTCTCAACATGCACTTGTGATTTTCGAATTACTGCCATAAATTTATAAATTATACACTAAATAACTGATGTTGATGTCAGCAAGTTTTAAGAAACTGATTTTTATTAAAATCTCTTTTTTTATGTTTACATTTCTGTGTTTTTCCAATTTATTTGAAGTTATTCATCATGCAAATCAATGCTGTTACAGTATATAAGATGCAGTTAATTAGGTGAAACTTTTTTTTATACCTTGACAGCGAACCCTTCTACTGTCAAGGTATGGTGATTTTAAATAAACATAAAATGTTATTTTTGGCAATGTAGCGCACATCCCCTACCACAAAAAAAAAAAAAAAAAAAAAAAAAAAAAAAAAAAAAAGGAAAAATGAAATACTGTATTTCAAATGTGTTTGTGTATTATTGCATAATCATAAAGATCAAAACCTGGTTAAATAAATGTAAATCTATTGGAGTAAAATATTTATTAGTAGACTGAATTGAGAATGTTTCTTCCATTAGATTTGCTTAGTCACTTCGGGAGGTGGGGGGGGGGGGGGGGGCAGGTGTTTCTATGAATAAATACTGTATATACATTTCTTCCTTAAATGCTTTAAAGTTATATAATTAATCTCATTACTAGACTGATTAAATAATTTTTTTTTTCTCTTCCACCTAGATGGTTTTGGCAAAACCATTTTGTTAAATTTTTTTTTCTGCCACCTCTGACGATGTTTGCGAAATGGTATAAAAAAAAGTCTCGTCTGATCTTAACAAATACAAAATAATAACAGACAATATTACAGTACATTGATTTCAATTTGATTTGTTTGGCTGAACATTTTATTCAAAAATATAGATATACAGTATATTCATGTGTTTTTAAACCCCTAATGTAAATAAAAATATTATAAACAGTTGATTAATAAATATATTTGAGGCTACAATAGTTTAGTTATCTTACTGTACAGATAGTGGAGCAGACTACAGTATGCCAAAAAGGGTTGCAAACATTTTAATTACATTTGTTTAGGTAATGGCTTTTTATTTGTGTTCTACAGTATTACAAAGAACCAGTATCAAATATCTTTCTTATATATATATTTAAAAAAAACCTTTATAAAAAGATGCCCATTATATTAAATATAAATTTTAAAATAATTTAAATTATTTTGGATATCTGGACATTTTCATTCTCTTGTTGCGTGATCATTTTAACAGCTGTATGCATGTCATATTCTCATAACAAGACAAATTAAAAAACTGTTCAAAAGTAAAAAAAAATATAACCAACTTAATTTTGCCTTCACTACATATACTGTAGGCTTAGGATCTCATTATATTGCACATCATCAACAAGAATGTTAAATAATTGAGTACTAATTGTGCTACTGTCATTACTCTCATCATTTATTTCAATTGTCATTCAATTATTCAATGAACAAAACATACCGCAATAACACTTATATAGCTCCTTCACAAAAAAAAAAAAAAAGGGCCAATGTGGTTTTAACAATAATACCACTAATTATTGTATGTACCTATATATTCACAACACAATGTGCAAAATTTTTTTTAAGTGTCTTGTACAATGAGACAGACTAGATTTGAGCTCCTACCTCAAGTTTGACTGACACTCAGCTGCTGCCACATCATGATCAAAAAAGAAGAGAACATAGTAAAAATTATAATACTTTTCTTTAAGATACCTGAATTAAATAATGTTGATTACTCAATAAAACCATCTACAGAATATAATTTGAATTCAATATATACACTTATTTAACATACACAATTACAAATTAAAATAGTAGCACTTATGCACTTGTCAATTGTAGCCCGGCCCCCAGGCCATAGCGGGGCACTAGCCAGGACTGAGCCGGGGATGTACACATAGTTGTGTCGCCGTAGTGCCGGGACGTACCTAAAATTTACCCGTAGATGTAACAAGCCTCGAAAGGGCCGGGAATTTTACATGTTAGAGTAGCCACGGTTTCGGGTGTGTAGGCCTAGCCTAGTGCTGTCAAACTGGGTCTGGTCCTACTAGCTTACACTAGGCCTGGCATTCTGTCAACACTGTCTGTTTGGTAATTAAAAAATCCCCTACCAGTGCTTTAGGTCTACCATCATGGTTTCATTTTTTATAGATCACGGTATAAATTACATAATAAAAATTGAACATCTAACCACACAACGCTGAGGACCAAGGTGGCGGCACATGTGAGTGTGTTGCGTGAAAATTTGTGAACCATGAACTTGACCTAGTGTTTGCGTCAAAAATATGCCAGTACATGAGCCAAGCCAAGGTAATCAGTTTCTACTACATGTATTCATTTTCTTATTTAGGCCTAATTTCTGTTTTGATATTGAATAATGATATTCTATCAATCAGTTATTATTCAATCAATCAATTACAGTATTTTCTTTTTCTATGATCAATCTGTCTCTGTCTCTCTTTTTGTTTGTACTTTTCCAAACTTCCATGGAAATCTGCTTAGTGATACGCATGCGTAGTGCTTCCATCAAGCAAGCTCATCTACTTGGCCTAGCTCCTGCCTAGCTCTCACATGCTTCTCCGATTTAGACCTACTGTAGACTAGACCTTCAAGTAGGTTTTATCATCCAATCATTTATTAGCAGGGCATTTTACCGGGACTACGGTGGTAAGTGGCGGGGACTTAGCCGGGGATACGTTAAAACGATGCCCCGCATTGCCGGGAGGTGTCCCGGACTTCCGCATGCATGTGTAACAGAAAATTACATCCCCAGCTAAGTCCCTGCTGGTCCCAGGGCATCCGGAGGGGCTGGGACTACAATTGACAAGTACATTAATGCAGTAGGTGGGGAAAAGAAGCAAACATTTAACAATTCAAATATACTGACATGATTTGGTAACATATTGAAACCTTTAAATGACAATTCTTAAGTACTGTACACTACAAAATTGCATACATGCTGTACATAGCAGTAGTTTTTAACAAATGACTATGGGATTAGTACACAAAAAAAAAAGATTACAGTATGGGAAGCATCTTACTGTGTTAATCTGGAATACCTTACTAGAACAGCAAAATTTTATTAAAATATAGAAAGTATTTTGCTGTCATAATCAATTATAAGAACTTCAAAAGTGACACATTTTATATTAAAATATTGTAAAGGAAATGTTTGAAATTATACAAGTTAATAATCCAATATATGCAAATTCCAGGAACAAGTAACAATGACAGATTTGGAAATTGCAGGATGCATTGTACACCAAAATTGGAATCACTGGAACTCTCAACAATAAAATTAAATGATTACCTTCATTACAAAAATAAATACTAACATAAAAACAAACATACTACATTCATTGTACATAATTTATGTATTCATGCATATATAATAATTCACATGTTTAAAATTTGCAGCTATTTGTCAACACCCATGATCAACATATATTGTATTGCTGACTAAATTAAAAAGTAAAACATTCTGAATTTATGATGGACCAAGGATAATAGTCTTGCCATCTTCAATTTCAGGTAATGTTGAATTTGATGTATCGGAATAAAGCCAAAGGTACGTATCTAACATACCCTCAGTGCATTTCGCAATGAAACGTATAAATGGACGTATATCACCCTGATTGCCGGTCTTAATAGCTGTGTAATATTCATGTCTTTCTGAAACTTTGATGTCTATGGGAGGATAGCCTGCCTGCATAAGAATTACATTCATTAGTAGTCGGGAAGTCCGGCCATTCCCATCAACAAAAGGGTGTATATGAACTAGTTTGTAATGTGCCAGTGCTGCTAGCTCTATTGGATGTAGATCTAAAGCTTCATCTGAGTTTAACCAGTTAATAAATTCTACCATCAGTTCCTCCAAGTCTGAAGGTGGGGCTGGAATGTGGTCTCCGACGAACACTTGATTAGTCCTAAAATGCCCAGCCTCGATTGGATCAACGTTTCCTATAACTCGACGATGAATCTCCTGGATGTCACGGATAGTTAATGAACCAAAGCGATTGGACATAGTTTGATTAATATATTTCAAAGCAGCACTCAAACCAATGATCTCATTATGTTCCATGATACTTTTGCCAGGTACAGCCATTCCCGTTTCCATCACGTGTCTAACTTGCTCGAGTGTCATTGTATTCCCTTCAATGGCTGTTGTATGGTAGATATGTAAATAATATAATTCTTTTTTAACTCGGTCTAATGCAGGATGGTGTGAAGGTACTTTGAGGAATTGCTCCTGTTTTGTTTCAATGCGTTCTAGCATCTTATTATCAATATCCTGTACAATCAAACTTGTCCTTTTCACATTGACCAGTGCTCTGGTATGACTGGCATTGATGGTCAATGCACATGTGTATAAATGGTCAGCTTTCACCACATCCTCCTCCTCTATAAATTCCCCATACTCTGTCAATGCTTCAACATGATTTGGATCAAGGGCAAGTGCATGTTGGAACAGTTTATGTGCTTTCTCTGTCCTTCCCTGAAGCTTGGCATCCAGAGCTTGGTGCAGGGCTGCAAGACTTTCACCTTTAATATCTGAAAAAAACAATGGACATCAGTATTGTTTCAAAAATATGGTGATAACATGCTGCCTTTGAATCCCAATGTCACTTCTACATACAGTACCCTGCCAACATTTGAATATCAAAAATAGGGACGCTATTCATTGGTGCCACGCCCCCACCCAAAATAATTTGTAAGATGTAATTATATATCCTAATTCCTGTACAGTTGCTTTAAATAAAAAAACAGAGTTACTTAATTTCAAATATAATGGTTTTCTTTCCTCAAAACTAACAAAGATATTTAAGTTACATTTTAATCAGTCAGTTTTAACGTCCTTATTTAGGATAGAAGAATGACACTTAACATCTCTGTTCAACATTGCCAGCTTGTGTGTAATTAAAGCACTTACAGTTTTTGTTGTCATGCTAGCTCGAGTCAATGCTTAGTCTTGTTTTTTTCAACAATAGAGAAAACTCTCTCGCAGTCACTATTGCTATGAAACCGTAGTTCCCCGGGTATAGTCCCACCAGATATAATCCCAACCCCAACTTTACAGTCAATACAAAGCCCATTCTTGGAAATTCTTTTGTTGTTTACTGCGGCTAAAAATAGACAACACTGCTAAAGAGACCCTCCCTGTGGGCTGATTGGATCGTTAATTCACAGTGTAAAGACTCGCATGTTCCACAGCTGCAGCTAAAAATAGACAATACAGCGGATCGTTAATTCACAGCGTGAAGACTCGTGTGTCTCACAGAGATTCGCAGCTAAAAATATATCATAAGACCAAGGTATGGCCTAGCTAGCAAGGCGCCTAGGCCTACTAAACTACAGTTAAGGTGTTCTCTTACTTTGATGCTGAGTAAAGACTGATTTCTTCACCGGAATATTGTTTTTGATATTCTATTGAAACTTAGGGCAATTGTTGAAATGCATCAGCCACCTCGCAAAACGATAGTTATTTTCGTTCCGGGTATAATCCCACCCTCCAAAATCGGGCCAATTTCGCGTTCATGGGGGGTGGGATTATATACCCGGGGAACTACGGACTAATATTCCCTTCATCACATTGGCAAGTAGTGGATACTTCTTACAATGTAAACTTTTTTCTTTTTTCTTTTTTTTTGGCTGAAATTCTAAAAATAGGGACGTCCCCATTTTTTGAGATCGGATATCGGGACAATCCCGATTAAATCGGGACGGTTGGCAGGTCTGCTTCTAATATACTAGGACTTTTTCGACCAATTGTACCACAGCTGAAAGAAGCAAATCGGAACAAATTTGATTGGAAATTAATACAGTATTGTTCCGACAGTAGCAGGTCAAAAAACGGCAATAAACCAAAACGGCAATGTGTTCCAAAACGGCAATATGTTCCAAAACGGCAATAGACATAGACCAAAACGGCAAAGGAATGAAATCAATGCCAAGATAGCAAGCGCCACCAGGCACAGACTGCAGTTTATAATTTTCTGAGATTTTTTTTGTTTGAGATTGTCCCTATAGGCAAATCGAACATTGCCATGGGCTCTTATTCCCGCTTTGAATGTTTCAATGTTTAATCACGGTTTTGTTTTACACATCTATGAAAAATTATTTAGATGCTTCACTCTGTCTATATCTTAAAGTGTTGTTTATTATTATTATTATTTCGCATTTTTTACTTTTATGACATATAGCCTCATTTTGTCTGTATTTGAAAGTTTTATTTATTAGTATTAGTTTTAGTTTCATTGTGTTTCCCCCCATCTTTTTATTATTGAATTTGTATGTTATATTATTATTACTGTATTAATTATTTAATTGTTATTATTATTATTATTTTTGTCATTCTTTTATGTTTTCTATGACAATTTAGCCTCATTAATCGTTGTACACTTTCATGTTTATAATTGGTTTATTATTCACGTTTTTTAATACTTTTATGACATAAATTTTTTAGCCTCATTTTGTCTGTACACCTGTATTCTAAAGTTTTACTCCTATGACAATATAGCCTCATTTTTACCGTATTAATCGTGTACACTTTGTTTATAATTGGTTTTATGTAGGGGCACATTGAAAGTATGTTTTAATTCTTAAAACTTTCATATATTATTTTGGTTTATTGCTGTTTTGACTTAGGCCTAATGTTGTTTTGGTCTTGCCGCTTTGACGTGGGTGTCTATAAAACGAAGACCAAAGACCCAAAAACGAAGACCCCTATTCTTTCTCTTTCATTTTGATGATAATACGCGAGGCTCTCACAAAATCCAAATTACGAATTTTTTTGGGCGTCTGTTTGTGAAATTTTCGAGGGTCTTCGTTTTATAGACATCCTACAGTATATGGGTGTCTACAAAACGAAGACCGAAGACCCGAAAAATGAAGACCTCCAGTTATTTCTCAATTATCTTATTGAAAGAATCTCAAAATCATCATAAAACAGGTGCCAAGTACCTATTTCATTATTTTATCGGAATAAAATGAGGAATATCAAGGAATTAAGGGTCTTCGTTTTATAGACACCCTATATGGGTGTCTACAAAACGAAGACCCACATTGGAGGTCTTTGTTTTTTTCGGGTCTTCGGTCTTCGTTTTTTAGACACCCATATACACTGTAGGGTGTCTATAAAACGTGACACGGTACAGTTGGTGAAAAGCTAGCAACTAGTAGCATGCTGCAATCCTAACTAGGCTAAGCCTACCCTACCAACTAGGGTAGCCGATCATTCCCAACTAGGCCTAAAATATGTGAATAAAGTTAGCGAGTAATTAACACTAGAATCATATAGATAACACACCTGGCCTTAGAAACGGACGTTCCTTTACAGTTACGGGCCAGTCTTTTAAGCCATCGTTCCTCAGAGGTGTTCCGAGTAGTCCAATGCTGTAAGGTGGGTGACCCGGCCCACCAAGTGAATGGTGCTCGTTGAGTGACAGCAAAACATACGCTAAAAGAATACCGCTAATAAAAACTGCAATAAGAGTAATTCTGTCTTTAAAAACAGATGCCTCCATTTGTCTGACCTTTGTTACATTACTTATACACCACTATTAAATATATTAATACATTAAACCACCCATTTTCATCATCACATTTCCTTCTTTGCCATCGCCAAATCATCATGTCAGTGGTCAGTCCCGTAATTTCGTAAGAAATGTCATATCAAAGGTAACCAGGTCATATGCAATGACCCGTACCGTAATGTTGATCTGCAGTTTTATTTGTACTTAATTTCTGTGTACAATATTAAATATATTTATGTCAGTTCTACTAATAAACAATGTAGTATCATTAATATTAAAAATTTATTTCAAAATATAAACACAATATGGTATTCCTAATTATAAAAAGTCACTGTAAATATATTCTTTTTTGTCAATCAAACTTACAACACTCGGCCGATTTTGATTGGACCTTTAATTTAAAATGGCCGCGCCCACATGTTTTGATTTGTACATTGACATGCGCACGCTGCTCATGGTGATTGAGGGTAAAACGATGATCAAGGCATGGCGTTGTTTTCTATAAAAAGGTACCTTACGTATTAGACAGATTAAATTAAGCATCCATAAACGTTTACTATAACCTATAATAAACTAGAAAGGGATAGGCCTAGGTAGAAGGTAGAAAGTTACGAGAGAAGTAAGTAGCGTATAGGAAGTAGTAGGGGGCCTAGCTAGGATAGGCCGAATACAGATCATTTCAGTTGCGCTTCGTTTCGGTCGCGCTTCATTTCGGTCGAGGTTTTTTTTCAACAAATATATGGAGCGAAAACGCCAAATGTAATATAACTAGGCCTAGGCCTAATTATCATTGAGTTCGTTCGTCAATCGGTTTATCATACTTTTTTATTTATGTTTTGTTGTCTTTCTACTAAGTAACAACATAGGCTACTTTAAAGCAAATAAACATTACTGCCAAGACAGAAGTAGCCTGGTCAGATGCTAAAATAGGATTTAGGGTCGTAGCGGCCGCGAGTCGATACACAGCAATTAGTATGGAGCGCCTAGCGTGCAGTACTGCATGCAAAATATATGTTGGACAGTGGGCATCAGAGTTCGATATTAATACTGTTTTAATCAATTATCTAATTAATGTATATTTTCTTTCATAATTTATATATAGTAGGTATGTTAAAAAAAATTAAATTTGATTGGATGTCCACAATACTGATATGACAAAATCTACCAAGTGTTATAACATTAAAAACATTTACAAAATTAAATTTGGTTGTATGGTTGATTTTTAATGATTTTTAAAAATATTTAATTAGGCCACGTAAAATAAAACAATTGGTTAGCATCCCCGCCCGAATTTTTTTTTTTTTTTTTTTTTTTTTACAAAACACTCAAAAACTCTATCTCCCGAAGGCAATTTATATAGGCCTAGGCTTGTTTACCATCCGTCCGAACGCCAGCCGATTGGGCTTATCCCTGCAGTTCCATTCCATTATCGTCCCGTCTAGGCCTAGGCCTAGTCCTTGCTTCTATCTAGAAAAGGCCTAGTTTTATAGTAGTAGTATAAAAAGAGTGTATTTGTATACACGGTACAGCCGATGCAAAGCATTAAGATTTACTCGGGATTAGGTTTATATTAGCAAACTAAACTCTGATCCGATGCGTACGTCTTATGCTTTGTGCAGAAAAGCCAAGTCGGCCAATCAGCGCGTTGGTATTTCCATCACTTTGGAAGTAGACATCCACAGCAGCGCGAAAGAGAAACAAGGAGGATCCGCTCTGTGTGGTGACCGGACAACAAACATGGCTGCGCCCATCAGTTTAAAACTGTGGCATGTTCACTTCTTACCTGTGTGCAATATTTCACGAAATAAAATTTTAAAGATAAATTTTCATAGGTAGGACAGCATAGATAAATTATTACTGGAAATATAGTGGCGAGATAGTGCATGCGTATATTAGAGAGCGATCCGTCCGGCCGTCTTTTGGACTGCCTACAATTATTTAGGAAGGCAACTTTTACCGTGACGGCTTGGACGGCTTGGCCTAATCAGCTCGGCTTAGCCTAATTGGGCCTGGTCTACCTTTAGCAAATTCTTTATATAT